CTCCATCGGCGACAAAGAGCTGCCAGTGTTCGCCAATATGTTGGTGAAGGTATTTCCTCATTTAGAACGGCATGGAACCATAAATCAAAAAGAGTATCTACCACTCGGGAGCCTACTCTCATACCCATTTCCTCTGAAATGAATGGGACGATACAAAGCGCAATTGGAGGAAAAGCGAATTCCACAAACCAGGAGAAAGAGGATCTGCTAACAATAAATCTGCCGAATTCAGAAGGAAGCTAAGAGTTCGAGCCCAAACCTAGAACACGTGAACATCGGATACAACGAATAGGTACTCACAATATACTCATATGCTCCTCTAATTTATGTTAGGGTGCAAACAAACCTGCCCAAACTAACCTCATTTTGGTATTTCCGACTTGCTGAGTGTGTCAACGCCCTTACAGCATCCAGTACAGTTTCCACTTCACGAGCTTGGCGTTCAATAGCCAAGCCTCGAGGAACCTCAAGTGATGTTTGTGATACACGCACATATCAATATCTTCTACTTTTATGATGAACATAAACACTGCCCACTCAAAAGATCCATAGCGAATATATTGACATAGAGTAACTGAGGAACTCCGTGATAAAGAAAGAGTCTTTTAATGTTTAATGCTACTTAACCGAAGCAAGGTAGAGAAAAACTTTGAAAATGCAAGGGGTAATCGTCATACAAACAAAAAGAATCTGCTCCCATGAACGACATGTTACTACTCAAACTGTGATCAATACAACAAAGTTTGAAATATCTTTGAAAAGAACGAAAAACTACAATTTGATAGACTCACCTCTCCCTTTACTTCACTCCGTCGGCAGAATAAATTTCGCAGTGCATCAATTATGTTCCTCAAATAGCGTATAATTGATCGTGTGGTTCGAAACAGATGCATTTTGGGATATGATTGAGCATAGTCTCATGCGGGATGCAGGTTGCAGACAAACAAATGGCTGGCACGGATGGATCACAGCAAATGAGAGGACAAGTCGATATGTTCTGGTTTAGATATAGGTCTCTAACGCAACTGTACACAGACAGTCACTGTAATTGCAAACATTGCCAAGCCAGTTTACAAAAGCTCTTGAGATGTGTCTAAGGATGTAAGCTATAACGGCAGATTTATCTCATAAAAGTAGAGTTGCAGCCTTCAAATACAATAGTAGAAGCAGGGGAGACAGCTAATCAGATAAAAGTAGATGATGCAAAAGTGACTCATAGGTTTACCTTACCTAAAATATTTTTCTGGTGTATCCAGCAACGGCCTCGGTATATTCCCATCTGGAATGTCCGAAAGTGCTTGCAACCAATGCAAGTAAATCCGCACAGCACCACGAACGGTCTCATATTCTCGATGAGTGTAGAATGAGAGCGTCAAAGAGTGATTCAAGACCTTAATACATTTGCTTGAATGAAGCCATATGATGAAATGATCAAAACAGGATTTCGCTTTCTGTAGATCAAGAAAGAACAGTTATATGCTAAACCGGAGAAGTTTATGAGAAGCATGCCACCAGTGACAGCTCACAGATATCATCGACTCCCAGATTCGTATAGAAGCGGAGTCGTCGCAGCTCAAAG